GGAGCCGGTGTGATCATGGTGGTGGGGCATTATGGACCGGCAGACGATGGAGGACTTGAGGCGGAGCTCTTCGATCTTGGCTACGACGTTGATGGGGAGGTGCTTGGCCAGAACTCAAAACTGAATTGGGGGAATTAGGGAGTATTAATTACGGTTGATAGAGGTTTTAATTTGTTTTGAGTGTATAAATCTAATTTGTCAATTTTTTAGAGTATGCAGTCTAATTTTCCCAAAGAACAACTAAATCTAACTTAGGGAGACACTTCAACTCAACTCTTCAAAAACTTTTTGTCCGTAGGAGGGACAAGAGAGGACAAAGAAAGAAGATACCAAGAAAAAGCCAGAAAATTGAACACCTTTAAGGCAGAAAAAAAAGTTAATATTTTCACTCATTATACCATCCAGTAAGTCGACACGATGTTCTGATCACAGTTGTATTGCATAGAAAAAGCCGTACTCTTAACCACCGAGAATTCCATTATGGGAAAAACCTCTTCGTCCATTCTCTGTGTGAAGGTCATCTGCAAATGAGGTTTTGCAACAAGAGCAAAACTTTTATCTTGCTTCCCGACTGGTGTATCTTTTCTTTTTTTTTTGCCATGTTCAACTGGAGAACACCTCAGTACTACAAAGAATGAATGATTGAGTTGTGGGCTATAAGATTCAGCATGATTTAGTCGCTTCTTCCTACATCTCCATGCAACTTGTATTATTCTTGCTGCAAGGCCAAGCTAATAAGGCGATTCGTACCTGTAGGATTTTTGTAACAAATTAGTTACACGGTGCAAAGGTGTATTCAGGACACTTTCTTTCACAAATGCTTGTATCGAGTTACATATTATCTCCTCCAGAGAACATTTGACCACCATTAGAATTGACATACAGTGGCAAATCCAGCCATGAGTTTGGACACGAGTTGCAATACAAATGTACATGGGTTTATCTCTCTATTTAAAAAAAACTAAGAACAAAGTGGACATTTACAGGGGCAGATACGGGCAGTAGTCCAGTCGAGCCCGTGCCTGTACCCACCCTTGGACATATAAGAATGTTTTAGAATAGACAATATTGTTCTTTGTTAAAGTTAGAAAGAAGTTATTTATTTTTATCAAGCAAACATCCCTCTTGTACCTCTAATCGAGAGGTCAAATTTTCTATTTAAGCCCCTCTTTTACGATCATTATTTGGAAAAAAAAAATAATGTTTTGAATTGTTGTGAACCACTCAAGATACTAGAATCGCTCTCATACCACTTGTTGAGATTTGGGCCAAATAATTAAAGACGAGAAAAATATGGACAATATGAAAATAATGAATCACACAACAACCAAGATTTGTATAGAAGAAGAGGAGAATTTATTATAGCAAGAAACTAAAATTGTCTTTACAAGATTTGATTCTCTCAATCTAAATTTAAACAATTTTCTCAAGTTTCTAATGTATACAATAATGATCTAATTGTTATCTTTTGAGTATCTAAAAAGTCTACACCTTGTGGAGTATTTATAAGAGTCAAATCTTAGAGTTATGGATGAAGTAGAGTCATTAATCCTAAAGTCCTTATCACAATCAAACTCCCAATCAAGTAAGAAATTTGATCATTTATCTATTCGGACTTTTAAACCAAAATTATTTAGACTTCTTCCATTAATCAAACTTCCAATTCACATGGAATTTGAATCACAAAATGTAACAAATTCTACATTGAAGCAAATTCCATAGCAAGGAATTAAATCTTTGCTCTTCAAGTTATTCTTTAATTCTTCCACCATGTCCCATCCGGAAGCGCCATCCCCTGTTGGGTATACTCAGTAAATGTGAACTAAATCCAATCCCTGATTATCACCAGAACTACTTTGCGTGCCATCCTTGCTTGAATTATTCCGTTTACTTCGAGCTCTAATCGAGTCAATAAACCTGCTAAAATCACCATGAACAATTCCAACTCGATTGCTAAACCTGCTCGAATCACCATGAGCAACATAATCAATAAGATCACAACAAGCTCCACTGAGCTACTAGAAGATTTCCCAATATTATTGTTCAAACAACCATAAACGACCCGATCACAACCAACTCTACCCAAGTTATTGCTTATTGAACCATAAGCTGCAGCTGTATCCACAATGATCTCCGAACCTTCAACAGATATAACTGGGACTTTCTCCGTCCCCTTAACACAACCCGGGCAACCTTGCTAACTCTAAGAACTCCACCTCCACCGGTATACGTATTCAAAGAGATTACATTCTTGTTTATACCTGGAACATGTCGAACCTGGCCAAATGTTCTAACTGTCCCACCAAACATCTTGATTTTGACATTACCAATCCTAACTATTTTACAAGGCTCATTATTTCCCATTATCACAGAACCTCTTGTAACTATTTCATATAAAGAAAACAAAGATCAAGCCAAATTAAGAATCCAATCCTCTTCTAGCTTGGAGTCACCTTCAATAATCACCAAAAGATCTCCATCACTGTCTTCTTCTGCGAGATTAACATTATCGAAATTTTCTGTTTGTTCCTTCTGATCTATAGTAACAAACATGTTCCGCCACTTATAGTAATCATTCTTCATGTGTCCCTTGTTATTTCAATACCAATAGACTTTATCACTATTACTATCCTTGACTATGTCACTTCCATGACCATCTGTCTTTCTCTTACGAACATCAAGACCCTCTACCTAGGTTTCAAAACTGACAACCACATGCTTTATCTTCTTCTTAGAATAAATTGCATCGTATACATCATCAATAATAAGAGTATCCCGACTATAGAAATTTGTATCTCTAAAAGTCACATATGAAGGCGGCAACGAACACAACAATTTCAACCCTAAATCATCTTCATCATATTTGACCTCCATGATCTCCAAATCAGTGATAATTTCCTTGAACACTGACATATGATTTTTCAAAGATCCACCTTTTGTCATGCGATGAGAATACAAACCCTGTTTTAAATGTAACTTACTTGTCAAGCTCTTTGTCAAACAAAACTGTTCCAATTTTAACCACAACCCAGCGTCATTTTTCTCCTTTATCACATCTTGAAGAATTTGATTAGAAAAATGAGAATGTATCTGTAATAAGGTTTTTCGATCCTTCCGTTGCTTCCAGTCATTGTTGCAGACATTTTATCTATCTCTAACAAAGCATCATCAAGATCCAATTAAGCAGAACCGTTCGCATCTTGATTTGACACAAAGAAAATCTACTATTGCGATCCAAAAACGAAATCTCAAATTTCATAGGTGTCATCCCTGAAACAATCGACATTATTCAAACCTCGCTTTAATAATCAATTTGGACTTCCTAAGAACCTAAAAATAAAATAAAATAAAAAATAAAATCCTTCAGCTCTGATACCACTTGTTATGAACCAACCAAGATACCAAAATAGCTTTGATATCACTTGTTGAGAATCCGAGCTAAATAATTAATGACAAGAAAAATATGAACAGTATGAAAATAATAGATCACATAACAACCAAGATTTATGAGGAAGAAAATGAGAATTTATTATACAAAGAAACTAAAATTATCTGTATAAGATTTGATCATCTCAATCTAAATCTAAACAATTCTCTCAAATTTCTAATGTATACAACAATGATCTAATTGTTATCTTTTGAGTCTCTAAAAAGTCTACACCTTGTGGAGTATTTATAGGAGCTAAATCTTGGAGTTACAAATGAAGTAGAGTTCTTAATCCCAAATTCTTTATCCCAATCAAACTCTCAATCAAGTATGAAATTTAATCCTCATCTATTTGGACTTTAAACAAAAATAATCCAGATTTCCTCTATAAATCAAACTTTCAATTCACATGGAATTTGAGTCACAAAACATAACATGAATAGTGATTTTAGGAGAATATGTGGTTAAACATGAAAAAATTTTGAATTTACGTAAAAAATATTTTATTGTGTGAATGTACTATTGAAAATGAATATATATAAAAAAAAAATTTCGAAAAACGGTTGTAAAACAGACTAAATATATTGTCCACCAGTAAGTTGTTTTACCAAGCATATTTCACAAGTCAAGAAATAACTTACCCCAGCTAAATCGAGTTGTCTTATTCAACATATATCTCAACATCAAGTTGCCTTCTGAAATTTTCAATGAGATAAGAATTAAGAAAAATGTGAAGTGACGCCTTCAAAAAAATTTCATAGAGTAAGAAATAGGTAGGCTTTCATATTGATTTTGACTGGAAGAGAAAATTAGATGAACTTTTGGATTTGAGCTTGAAGATGGTAATAACAAGTATTTTGACTGTCTAAGCATGTATCTGTAGAAGAAATTATGTCGAACAAAATAATTGTCAAAATAAAAAAAAAATTAAGAACAACAAAAATTAATAAGATTTAATTGAGATTTCAGAATCGAAAAACTCCAGTCGATTTGAGTTCAACATATTGCATTTCTTGATAATCATCCATGCAATGTCAAGCTTCCTCCAAGTTGAGAAGCCATATTTGAAGTTTGCGAACCAAATTACAAGATAGTCCAACGGTGTCTTCAATCTCAAACCAACACTATAATGTACCTAGAGTATTTATAACAATTGCGTAAGCTCTGTCCTCCAGTCCTCTTCTCTGAGAATACAATGAGTGCCCACAATTCCAGCATTCACCGGGATTATTCTACTTCAACTAATTTCCCATGATCCGTTGGGATGCTTCTGCTGTAACAAAGTTTCACAGATCATGGGATCCTACTGAACATGATCTGGGCAAGTTTACAGGCTTCCATCAGAGATGAGAAAAGACAGTGCTCACTTGACGAGCATTGAAATGGGTGCAATAAATTTGAGTGTTTAGTAGACTCGTGTAGTCATGCTTGACTCAAGATTATGACAGTGAAGGTTCAAAAATCAAGATTCTGCCTCATCTTGCAATAAAATCTCGTAAATATCTGTCCTCAAATTGAGTTCCTTATCCCGCATGACTTCTTGGAGGTCTGAGAGCTCTTTCACAGTTAGTATGGAATTGAGTTTGAGAAAGCCATCAAGCCAAAGCTTTTTAGACCTGAAAAATTAGAGAACAACACTCATCATTACTAGGGTTAAAAATAGAAGCAACAGAGATTTATTGTTTTAAACATCTGTTATATATTGGGAAGCAAGCATAACAATCACTAGAAAAAAGTTTCGGAAATGGAGAAGAAATTTGTCTCAGTTTCAGAAATTAATCATTGTTGACAGAAATATTTTTCTATCTTTCCATCTTAATATTACCCTAAAGTGACCAACAGAGATTAGTGCATAAAAATATAAGGGACGTCACATTTATGAAACATTCACACACCATGAATTCAATCAACAGATTTTTTTTTTTAAATATGTAGGTTATACAGTATAAGAATGTTTTAATCAATATTTTTGAACTTCGTGTAAGATGAACTAGAATACTCATTCTGGGATGGTATAACGTACTCTGTGGTTCAGACATTCTGTACAGAACATGTACAATATGGAGAAACCAACTTTCACAAATATTCATATACACAGAAAAATGACACGAGAAACCAATTTTCAAGTAAATAAGTTAACATCATTCAGCATTGACAAGCTTTCTTTATTCATTAGGCTACTTTCACATATGGGTACATGGACGATTAATCAGGGTACTGGAATAAGAAATTATTACAAACTACTACAGATGCACAAAGGCAAGGGCTCCTTGATGCATATGTATTTGACTATACGAAGGAGTGCTGTATATTGCAAAGAATGATCATACCATGGGCAGGCATGGATAGCACGAAAAAACACTCTTCTAGCTGCAGAAGGATTGCATGCGATATTCATCTCATATTCTATGTAACAACGCCAGAGGAGTACTGAAATGCGCAATTTGTCATTCTCCAATGCCCTTTCAAAGAGTCCACGTATTCTATGCTGGGTACCTCCTCTTCTCATCTCGAACGATAGTGCATAGAGCCATGTAACCACAGAAGGTGTCCTGCAAAAGCAAGCAAGCAATAAGCACTAATATTGATTTCTGTCATCTTATATCACAAGTTTAGGAAAATGTTCCTTCATATCAAACAAGAATATGGAGGTCTTCACATTTCATTATCTGAGAGTGTACTGTAAATAACTATACCCCACATAAATATCCTTTTTGCTGCAAATTCAATCACCAAAGACACTCTCAACTCGCAAAACATCTATAATAATGAAGCAAGCAACACAAATCATAATAGTCTAAGCAAGCATATGCATTATAGAGCATCCACTGTTGGATAAATTAGATGAAACTAGCCATGACAACTTTTATTTCTGAAGTATATTTTGAACTTCCCATCTTGTAGGTTAAAAAATTCTTTCGCAATGCATTTTCCAATTTTCAACAATAGCAGTAAGAAACAAATCAACTTCACAGAAACTACTCTACTTATCAGAAAGGAAAACATGAAAAAGCAAGAGTCAAATAATTACAATTAAGACTGTAACAGCAGCAGTGCACAATTCACACTAATTTTGGGGTAAAAGAACTGATAATTTGAACTATAAACATACAGGTCATATGAAGATTTACTAAAACAGGATAAAGTCCCTTCACATATGGATACAGAAAATATTCATAAAATACTCATAGAAGATGATAAAAGATATTGAAAAGAAAAGGATAAAAGATGTTACTTGCGACAGTAGTCATCAAAAATCCACCGTAACTTGTTGGGTGAAGTATGAAGTTCACTGATTTCAGTTAAAGCACTGTACAGATTTGGATTGGAAGGATATATTTGCAGCCCTTTCTTAATAGCTTCCCATACTTTTGCTAGTTCCCATACCGCATGGTTTTCACAAAGCATCCTCACATAATATTCAAACAGAAATTCAAGTTGACAACTTTGCCGTCTTCTCTCTGCAATAAGTGCATATGATAGTCATAACAAACAACAAAAAGTTGTAGCCATTGAAATGGAAAACATATGAAATAATCATCATTATAAATATATATACCCAGCACCATTTACAAGTACAGGTATTGATTAGGAAAGTGAAAGTGAGAATTGAGTATTCAGTTAAATCATATATGTTCTCTAAAACATGAGGCAAAAAAGAAAAAAAAATGTAACGGAGAAATTTCAGCTCCATATAGTGGAATTGAAATCTTAGCGACTTAGCCCATGTTTGGGCCATATTAAAATTTTCATTCTCATTCTTCTACTCATTTTTAACTACACATTCTTCAATAAAATAATATTTTCCATCACATCAATAACTTTTCCTTCTCTTTCAACCATACATTCTCCATCAATCTACTACTCCAAAATACATTCTTCCAAAATAATGTGGCTCAAACACACTCTCAAAGGATTGCTAATTCATACGTGATCATATGCCTACCAACAACCAATCACGAAACATATTTTCAAGCCATAATTTCCCTCTTTCTTACACCACCAAGGAAAACGCAACCTCAATAGAATAACAATTTATTTTGAGCTTTTAACCCAACAGTAATAAATTTAATAATAAAGTCCACCTGATAGTCATAAGATCGATAATACAGAAAAGTACGTGCAGAACATGTGCTAAAGACAATACCATCATCTGGGGGTTCTTCAGCTTTCATTGAGAGTTTCAGTCGCAGATTGAAGGGGCAGAATCTGGTCTTTTTAGTAACTTCCTTGCATATAGTTTATTTATGTTGTCTTTTTGTGGGTATTTGAGCCCATTCAAGAGTAAATTACTTATCTTAGCCCACGTTAGACTATTGTTAATAATTTGTTTATAAATGGTCAAACCACTTTTTATCCACATATTTCATGAGACCCACGAGTATTATCTACTTATCAACCACTCATTTCTATCTATTTATAGTTTAAACCATTTATAAACAACTCCAAAGCATGCTTCTAGACTCCCTGCTGTACATAAGTAGTACTTACATTTTCTACTCCATTATCAACATTTCTGATTCCATATCTCAGTGCATCTGGGCAAACTCAAAATAAGGTTGTCATCTTCACCTTCTAAGAACTAGACTCAATTATTTTTTTAAGATTGTTAAGTATACTCCACTCAATTAGTATTTATAATTTCTTGAACTGGGAGAAAAAGAACAAATGTTTTCCACTATATGCGTGATTAAAAAGTTGACAAAGTATCCTTAGCCCATTGCATTGATTGTTAGTTTTTAGGCACTCTGTGAATTTGTCGAATCTTCAGACAATTTGTATTTATTTATATTTTTTTGGTGGAAACTTCCAACATTATACTGTGTGCACAATGACAAAGAACATGAAAATTTAAGTATACTAAGCCTATGTTAGGGCTCCATTTTTCCAAAAACTCATTTTCAACCACACATTCTCCAATAAAATAATTTTACACGTAAACCAAAAACTTTAACTTATTTTTTAACCACACATTCTACAAAAAATAACTATTCCAAAACACATTTTCCCCCCTAAAGCTCAAACAGGGGGTAAATAAATAATAGAATCATTAACCCGTTTCTTTGATTTTTATTTTCTTAGGCACTCTTGTTATGTGAAGAGGTTTTTGTGGAATCTTCTAATAAAGCCTTTTTTTTTTTGGGAAACGTTCAACAAAATATTGTGTGCACAACAACAAAAATATGAAAGTTTTAAGTACACAAAAATAAATAATAGATACAGAAAGCCAACGCACCAGGAAGAACCATCGTAAAAGTATCTTCTAAAATTTCAAAAGCAGTGGCCAATCCAGTAGTCAACTTTTCAAATAAAGCAGCTGAACAGATGAGAGCAACAGAATGATCATCTACGATGCCACATGTCCACGTTGGACGTAACATTTTTATGCGGTCTTTGAACCCTTGGCGTGCTCTAAGCTGTAGCAAACTTGATGGCTGACACTTAAATGGACTATATAGTGCCCCACTACCCACACAAGATAAGATATGCATTGCACGCGAAACTGAGTCAGAATTTTCAACATTACTATTTCCGAGCTCCACTTCGGCATACCAGAAATACAAAATAGATGCATTTGGCCTAACATCCTGCTTAAGAAAATTCAATAAAACTTAAAAATGTCATCCATGAGTTTTCTTTAAAAAAAAAAAAGGAACAAAGAAAAATAGCACTCAATGAGTAAAAAATAAGAACACAAGAAAAATACTATAAATGAGATCAAGCCTATACAATTTAAGATGATGTAGCAGTAAGTGACGTCAAGTTTTCACATACTTACGCTTTAAGATTAATATATTATAAACATGGCATATTGATTTTTTTGGGATAAGGAACTTAAAAACTGTCCTAACGATAATCACATCATTCTTAAATGATTACTTGCTTCATGCATATGTGAAAAATCAGTAGTTGATAGTTTTGGTAATCAAGAAATGTTTGATCTTAAAAGATTATTTATTACTAAAGTAAGAAAGTACTAAGTGTAATATAACAAGATGCCCTCAAATTTCTCAGATTATTTACTTAATTAGTTATTAAATCCGCCAAGACACAAGTGTAATACATCAAGATGCCCTCAAATTTTACAGATTATTTACTTAATTAGTTATTAAATCCACTAGGGGTTTCATTCCATATACCCTTAAGTCTCTGACAATTAATTTGTAGCAGATAATCAAATACCGATTGGGTTGAACAAATATTTATTTCAGTTTTATACCGTATCCTAATAACTATGGTTGTGTTTGCATTGGGTTTTTAGAGATTACGCACATAGTTTCAAGGTTTAGTTACTTCAAATTTAAAAATGTTTAGAAATAGAATGCGTTGATTCTAACAATGGATCTAAAAATTGATCGTTATACATAATTTCATCCAATTCAAAGTTTAGGAAGTTTAAACTAAATTCTAAACACCATCCTAGCTCTTTGGTAATAGCAAGTGTTTTCCTCTATTTTTCAACTTCACTTAGAAACTTTAAGGGCGTGCTTGGGAGTTTCGCCGTACCGGTTATGAACGTTTTTTAAAGTACAGGTTTTGAGCGTTTATGAGTGGATCAATTGTGAATGGTTTTAGTAACGGTTTTTAAAACTGTCCAACATATGCTTGAAAATTTATTATCCACCGACTTGAAAGTTTTTTAAAAGAATAAAATTATGTATATTTCATCTAATAAAATTTTCTTTTATATGAAATTTTTTTACTCTAAAGTGATATTTTACTTATAGATAATTTTTAATATATAAGTTAATATTTAATTTAAAAAATTAAATAAATTTAAATATTTACTCAAAATTTTAAGTTAATATTTTTTAATTATAAGTAACTTTTACAATTATAAGTTAATTTTTTACTTTTAAATAAAAAGTGATTTTTTTTTACTTGGAAGTAACTTTTTACATTTTATAAGTATTTTTTGTCTTATTAGTAGTACTTTTATTTTTTAATAATTTTTTACATAAAAGTGATTTTTAATTATAATGTAATTTTTCTTATCTTACAAGTAATATTTTACTTATAAGTATTTTTTAAATTATAATATAATTTTTTAAATTATAAATATTTTTTAGTTCATATATTTTAATTTACAATTTAATTTTGAACAAAATAGATTGATTGTAAATAATTATTTTATAAATGGTAAAATTAGAAGAGAATGAGAGAACGACCAAAACCCGCCGATTTGGTGGGTTGAAAGCCGCTCAAAATTACACTACACCAATTTTGGATGGTTCCAAAAAAACTAGCAAGCACTTATTTTTCCAACCCCTCATAAATGGTGCTGCCCAAAACTGGTCAAAACCGGTGGAAAAAAAACTCCCAAGCAAGACCTAATATGAGCTAGGGATAACTTCCATTGTCAAGTTAGGAAGTATTGACCAAATAGGAATCTGTAGTGGACAATTAAATTCTGCCTCGTCGATATTAGGGAATTCATTATTCATTCTTAACAAATATATTAAGCTGAAAAAAGCAAGGACAAATATGACAAGGCCTTTTGATGGACAAGCTTTGAAGTAAATTAACAGTGATTCTCTACAGCATGTAACCCAAGAATAGTTACAAAATATTTATATCATACCAATGGAAGCCCCTCAATAGAGGACAATGCCATGTCAAAAACCTTTCTTGCATGATCGATATTCCCGAACAGTGCTTCTCTCCGAGCATAAACTCCACACAGCACTACATCCTATTATAATAAAGTACAAAAGGGGTATTAAAATAATCAGATTATAGATATCAATGAAATCATTCTACAACATCATGGTCAGCTTTGTCAACTAGATTAAAGTTAGTTCTCAGTTCAGAATAATGGAAATGAGGAGCTTCATCATATCAAAGTTTGCTTATCTGACTGTCAACATTGTTCTATCTTTCAATTAGAAATGCCTTGTAAAGGAACTCATGTTGAATATTAGGCGGTGACACTCCAGATCTATCACACACACGGACAGTCCCAAGCTCGAGTCAAATAAAAATATTCTTCACCAGAAATCAGTAAATGAAGGTTTCCCATAAATCTCCACATTAGAGTCAACTAACAGATATAACAGATAAAAGGCATACCTGCCGATTATTTTTCAATAGCGTTTTTGCTAAAGCTCGACATGGGGTCACTGAAGAGACTGATCTATTCATTTTTGTATTTGACAGCTCTTCAGCAATAAGAGCAGCTTCCTCCAATATGTAATTTTGTGGAAATGCTGTCAAACAAAGCAAGGTAGCATTACAAAGAAACTTCATTGCATTACTCCTCATATCTGTGTCATCTGAACTGCTTAATAGAAGCTCCAAAGGGGTAGTCGTTGGGTTGTCTTGTTTTTCAACTAGAATATTGCGAACTTGTCTCATACTGTCTATGATAGAGTATGGAAGAGTCTCTAAACTGAGAGTCTTCTCAGCCCAACTTGAACTGTTTGTGCAAGCCCTAAAATATGGAACACCATTGAACATTAGATGAGCAGAAGAATGGTATCTATTACGTTGCTATTAACAGAAATATCATAATGCAATTGACTAAATAACGGATAAAACATTTTATGCTATGATATAAGACACTCAAGCAATATTGAACCAACTGGATACAGTAAAAGCACAAGCAACTATGAGAAAAACATACACAAATGCAAACAGGTTATATGTAAAAACAAAAGAGATTCTGCCACGTCCCAATAAGATAATTATGTACAAGTCCCAACAAGAGAAATTCTCCCAAATTACAGATGATTGTCATCAGTAAGAACATAAAAAAAGGAACGGACACAGACACGGACACGTGTGTGTGTGTGTGTGTGTGTGAAAGAGAGAGAGAGAGAGAGCGAATAGGCAAGCTGAGAAAGCTAAACATTCCAACACTGCAGAGATCCAACTCTGCTGAAAGCCTATGGACTTAGTGCATGTTTGTCAAAGCTTATAAGCTGATCAAACTCTATTTATCCACACATTTCATAAAAACTTCAATTTTTTCTTACTTTATAACCACACATTTCTTTGGATCCACGCTTAAAATCAACTATGAGCTTTGACAAAAATGCACTTAATTTTAAAGCGAAATTGTTAAAATACCGAAAGTTAGCCAGAGGTACAATGAACATGGGGGAGACCCCTGGCACACAGAGAACAGAATGAAACGAGTAATCTAAACAGTAGTTATAAGATAGAGTGAGAAATTAAGCACCAGAGTGTAAACATCAAATCATTATCGACAGGCGAGGATATTCAATCAGCAGGTCCCCATTGGCTGTGAAGATTCTAACTGACTACTCCCAATTTCGTCCAACATCAAACAATTTCCAGGAAAGAGGGATAACTGTGGTCTTGGGGGTGAAGGGAGGTGGTTGAACTACATGCAATCCAAATAATGGGAAAATGATTTCCAACATAAAGGCTTTCTAAGAGGCAAATACTTTCCCATATGGCTTTAGTTAAATGAATCTTTTATCCTTTTTTAAAGTGAGCGTGTGTGCGTGCGTTTTTTTAGGTTTTGCGGCATTAAAGAAAGGAAAAAAGTATTCTGTATTAGACAACCAAAAACATCTTTTCTCACTAAGTGTATTCAGCAACTTAAATAATTTGCCAAGTCTTTTCCTCACTTAAAAATCAACTGTATTGATTTTTGCAGCCATTCAACACCACTTCACCTTGAACTGGTAGGTTTCGACTTCAGCCTCAGCATCATTCTCTCTTTCTTATTTTTCATCCGGCAATCCATATTGACAACGAATTCCACGATTACAAGAAACAGAAATTAATAGCTCCATACCTGCTCGTTCTCCCCTCTAGAATTGTCAGAAACTTAAACAACGGCCATGACCCACATAACATATTTCTGTTGAGTGAGATTTCATACGGCAGTTGATCATATTTTCCGCCCCTCAGACAATTACTTAACACTTCCACCTTGGTTCTTTCTTAGATGAAAAAATCAGATATTTGGAATATGCTTACTAAGCTACCTAATTGTGGTGATGTATAGCAGCTTGTATTAATATACATGCTACTGCATGCATAATCACTTGTATCAGCTATGAAGCATTGTATGAATGCAGATTTATGGAAGAAGCTCAGCAAAACAAACAGGAATGTGAGTCAAATTGATAGCACTATAAATACGAACCATTTAGAAATCCTCCCTTCATAAAAATCTATTAACTGGGCTACGAGCGAAAAGCGTGCTTCCATAGAATTTAATGAGAACAGGTAATCGCTCACATCTTCATATAATATTACCCTCAAAAGCTGCTCATCATCTTCCATATCAGCTGTTCCATCGGTATGAGAAATTTGATCTGTTTAGCAGTCATATTCACTAAATTAGTTATCGTTATTTCATACTACATTAACTTGGAACATTAAAATTTCAAATGAAATAAACTGAAAAAAGCGAAATTTAAGGGTCAGGAGTGAAAACAACATCATAGTCACTGGTATTGGGACAATGGCTATTGGGCCAGCGTGATAGTAAGATTTGAAAAATGCAAACAGAGTGAATCATGACAGCACAAGCAAAAAGCTTGTACTATTTTGAAGACAAAAGTACTGCAACAGAGGAATTTCCCTAAAGTTTGCAAATACTTGTACCAATATTAACTATTATTGATGTCAAGACAACCAACTTACCAAAAGTAAATGTAATTAAAAACATAGAGATGAAGGGAGAGACGATATCAAGGTTAAAAGTGGCATGGTATAACATCCCCATTTTCTTTCCCACCCTCGTTACTTAAATATCAGGGTTTCTCTTTGACTTAGTAGGTATGTGCTCAAGCATGTTGGCTGTATATTGCAATAACTAATACTACACGAGAAGACTTGCCAACATTCTTTAGAAATTCCTCATTTTGATTGAACAGCCTGTGGCTCAGATAAAAATAAATTACATTATTTGTCGCAGGCCGTAAGACTCGAGAGTGTGATATTTTGGCAGGAAAGTTATCAACAGCTAATCGTGTCCACGAGAAGATAGTCATTAATGTTGAACCACACCTTTGTGTGCTGTGATACATGTTGAATTACTTTAGATCAAGTGGTTCAACACTTAAATTTTGGAGAGCGACAGAGATTGACCCATCCTTGCATGGTAAGCGTGTTCCTGGGGACTTATTTCGGAAACTAAAATCTGAGCAGACATTGGGAACAGGCAAGGCAAGGCAAGATGGAGGATAGGAAGGCGGAGGCGGGGGCGGGGGGGGGGGNGAGAGGTAAACAAAGGCAAACCAGATTTTGCGCGAATAGGCATCCATTGATCAGAATCTCTTTCTAACTCTGCCTTTGACCACATAGTCCATGTTTTTGTATCTTTAATCTGGCTATCAGCTTCAGCAGCAGCATCAATCCCAACCTTTTTAAGCAGAGCCTCTATATCATCCTTCTGCTCGATGTTTATCATCTCAGATTCATGGTCAGACTCCTCAAAAGCCATATCGTTTTCTGTGGTGCTTGCTGCAATTTCACTAGTTTCCTTTTGTTTAGATAATGGTTCAAACCAACCCGTCCAACCGCCTTTTTCAACATCATTTGAAGACTCCTCACTAATAAGCCTTTGCCTCTGTTCTTCCTCTTTCTCTAACCAAGTTGACCAGCCAAGTGCACCATCTTCTCCAATTCTAGCACCATTACTGCTCCAGAAGTGCTTAAAAAGTCTTTGCTTACTTTGTTCAGTAAGAACTAGAGAAGGACAGAACAAACTGTATTCAATCTCTGCCTGAAATAAAGCAGTGGCCAACTCTTGGTAACCTGCCTGCCACTCAAAGCGGCAAAGACTCAGAAATACATCGACCAAACCAAGTTCTAGGTCAACAACAGCAGGATCAATAGAAGGTGCATTGAAAGAATGATGAACCTGCTTCGGGAAGAGAATCAAAGAGGAGTCAGTTAAACAAAACACAGATGACCTGCATGTATTGCCAAATAGAAACAAGATATAAAATATCAAATTCATTAAAAAAAAATAAAAAAATATGTTGAGGAAAAGAAAGGATTCAGAAGAAAAATGAAAATGCCTAATGAGTGAACAGGATGCCACGCTATTGTACTAGATTTTGAATGTCCTCAGAGATTGACAGGATGATCTGGCTATCACATACTGTAAAAAAAAATTTAGCTTAAGAATTCAGTACCTTAATCACCATCACCACCACCCCACCCAACCCAGAAAGGGCATCAACTTCAATATTGTGTTGAATAAGTTTTCATCATATTTAATAAAAATAGAATAAACCTACTGGGAGCTAGCCATTTTTTACAAAGTGTCTCCTACATGATTACAGACGACAAATTCTAGCTTGTCTTGTAGATTGATGATTAATTCATTGATTTTTTTCCTAGTCCAATCTGCATCATAGGATAATTTATTTTTATTTTTTATTTTTTGAAAGCAACTAGTGCTAATTAATATACAAAGCTAATGTCCAAATGAAAGGCAAAACACATTCATATAAAGTACATGGTAACATCAACTTCCAATGCTGAAACATCTCTAAAAACATTCAGCTATATTAATAAACCCACCACACTCCTATGTCATTTGTAGTTTTTCAAGATTTACATTAAAGTGAAGTAAGAAACGTGGATCCATTAAAGCGAGAACCTGCCTATGCTGCTTGCTGCATGCACCAGCTATAGCTTGGATTGCATTGCCATACATTTTCCTCATGTCAGAAACCTTGAATCTGGAAAATTCACTCTGAACAACATGTAAAAACTCTCTCCACAGCTTGAAACTCCCAGAATTTTGAGTGAGTATCTTCTGCCATCTCCCAATCAAGGCATCAGTGCTGTCTCTGCTTCGATAAGCATTCATAAGAGAGAGCAGCAAATCTTCACTATCCGGGTTGAGCTCAGTTGCCTTCTCCAAAATACTGATCTTCTTCTCAAGAATCTGCAAACGAGCACCTTTATGGGGCTGCATATTCGCAACCTTGTCTTGAAAATCTGCAAAAGCCAACCAAATACTCTCATCCTGAGGATGTTCTCTTGTCAACATATTGAACTCTTTTGTTTTCCGCAAGACCTCGTCTTCCCATGACTCTTCGACCACTGTTGCACCCATGAAAGACACCTCTGTTTTTTCTTCATCCAGTAATGGGATATAATCTGCACCTGAACTTGATATGGGTTTTCTTCGACCAAATATTCGGACACGTTTCAAGTTCTTATGGCGCTCAAGAGCACAGTACTTGGCAGACCAATATCTAACCCCAGATCTAAGTGTAGTACCCAATGCATCGATATCGTTCTCCCCTTCTAAACTCCCAAACTTTTGATTTGATTGTATATAGTTATGGTCGGACATTTTCTTAGAATTGTAAAGCTTGTAGCGTGCCAAATCCATTCTGCATCGTAGGGCATATAAATTGCCATATCATCAGAATACTATATGATACTATAAGTAAAAGGAAACGATTATAGAGTAATAAGTAACTGAAGGATAATAACAAGATTAATCGCCCTGAATAACATTCCTTATAAATCACAATGAGTATTTATAGCTTAGAAAAATCATTATTCATTTGGTGAAAAATACATTACACTTGTATTCTGCGTAAAACGAGATCCTTTGTACGCAATAAGAAGCATAATCACGGGTGTTACTGAATAATAAAGGGTTATACCTGTAAAGAGACCCGAAGGCCAAGTTATCGCGATCTCCATGAGAATCAAAGTAATATTCTTTATCACTTGAAGTAGATGAATAAGCCCATTTTTTAACATCAGGTTTTCTCGTAGAAGAAGAGAAAGTTGCTGCATAGTCATACGATGATGGCCGTCCATTTTCCCTCTTCCTTTTCTTCTTTTTCCTTTTCTTCCTCTTCTCCCTATCAGAAGAGGAGGAGCTTTTATCAGATACCGGAGAGTCCACCAACTCGTACTGTGAACGCAGTTTATCGGAATTACTTTTTTCAGATTTATTTTCGTCTTCTTCTTCGTCTTCTTCATAGGGTTGGTCGTATTTGGAAACGGCGTCGTTTATGACGGAGAGGTCTGTGGTAAAGCTGGAGTTGCAAAGCCATGGTTCTGAGGTGGCGGCGGCGGCGGAGGAGGAAATTTGAAGCGGCGGTTGTTGGCGGTGGAAAACGGGGAACAACGACGTCGTTTTGGCTTGTTCTTCGATTATTTCTTCTCCTTTCTCCATGCGTGGGAGGTCTGTCTTGCAATTGCAAAACGATGAGCGTAGAAGAGTTGAGGAATTTGCCTAATAGGCCTTATTTAAACGGATCAATAGCAGAAAATCATTTCATGCGTGGTATGCTTATTGTCTATTGAAAATCGCATAAAACCTCATGTTTGTCTTTTCGGAGGAAATACTTGCAAATGGCCGAAAGAAAAGACCATATTTCATATATGGCCTTTAACCGGTAAACATGTAAAAAAAAGGAACTCTTTGTTAAAACACCTAGTCAAAAAAAGTAATTGGAAAAAAGCCCCATCCTCAATGTTTATTGGTCATATGGCCTCCATTAAAAAATATAATAAATAAATATG